TATATATATATATATATATATATATATAGTTTTTTTTCTCTCTCCCTTTTAAAGATTCAGATTGTTCAACTAATTAGAAACACATACTGTAGAAATTGGCAAGCCAAAGTATAAAATTTCAACTTTCTTTACTGAGATGTCCCTATATTTACTCAACCTACATTAGATGCTCCTCCCATATCCTCTGTCGTTTAAGGAATACCTTTAATTCTCTGTAACATTACTATTGGATACATTTGTAACCAATAGAAAAAACATTTTTTAAGCTACGGAAATCACATGATTGTCTGTTTTGTTTTAGCAGTCAAAGCCAATAGCTCACATGAGGATAGCTTGATGTGTTTAGACTAAAGACATTGCTCTGAGAAGTATTGGAATTTTTTAACCTAATTATAGGTTGTTTGGAAAGATAGATAAGTTATTTGGGATGTTGTATTCTAGTGCTTGATATGTTTTCTTTTTGTTCTGAAATGCACATTTGAAAACTACATGAATTAGTTTTGAACAGCCACCATAGAGAGAGAGAGAGAGAAAAGAAAAGAAACTTACTGAACTGCAAAATTTCTTAAATAAATGTTATGTGCATTTTTTTGTTTAATGTTATATTTTTTTTAACAAAAGTAACTGAAATTTAAAAATTAGAAACTTATGTTAGATGTAGATAAGAAAACTTAACTAAAATTATTTTTATCTCTTGGATTCATGCAGTTGGCATGCATGTGGACTATGGTATCATGATGTAATTTGATAGTTTGTTTACCCTAAGCTCTTTACTAGTAATTTGTTGCTTTGCTATGCTAGTTGGATATGATTCAAAGAGTAATAAAACAAGAAAATTAAATGAAATAGGGGTGTGGAACTGTTAGGAGCCTAAGGCTGATTAGGGTTAACAATTGTAATTGTCTGTTAAATCTGCAGTTATCCTAGCAAAAAAAAAGTACTTTTGATTTAATTTCATATGTTTAAGTTTTTCATTTTACTGTACATAGATGAATTTGCTACAGTTAGTGTTAAGGTAGATGAAGTATAAAGTTGAAAAAAGAAAAAGACTTTGTATTCATTTAGGAGGTTTTAGAGGTTATACAAATGAAATATGAAAACTGTAAAATGGTTAACAGTATTTTAGTTGTTAGCATGAAAATAACATTTCATTCAGACTGACTCAGTATAATTTCATGGTTACATGGTGGTTGCAAGGTTGGTCAAATTGACCAAGTCTGTTCAGTTGCCTGTAATGTTTTTTATCCTTGATTGAGTAATCTCTCTTAAAATTTAAAAACTCATTTTAAAACAAATTGCTACACTAAACTCTGTAAAACACACAATTTTTGATTATTGATGTTTCCAAATTTCTTCAAATTCCATCATCAGTGTTAAAACCTCAAAAAAGTTAATTCAAAATATTCTAACTATAAAAAACATTAGCTATTGAATGAGTTTTTTATATTCAATCTGAAGTTTAGAAAGAACAGATTTAACTTTTGCTATGAGGTTGGTCAATTCAACCAACCTCATAACCATTTTATGCATATTATAGTTTCCATACTATAACTTTTAATACACTTTGCATATCTTCACAAAATTTGGCAGACTTTCAGTAAACATTACAAGTCTTTTATACACAAAAAATTAGCTTTTGAAATATTTTTACTGAAGATTTGTCCATGTGTATATATATAGCATTTCTATATACTAGTCAGAATGTTCCCCTAGTAGCTTTCTCAGCCATTTCTTTCTTTTGAACCAAGATTCCAACGAGTTAGGGTATGTCTTCAGTCTTCTCGAAATTCCAAATTTTTTTACACTAAATTACATCTTAGACTCTAAGCTTGATAAATTATAGTGGAACTCTATGGTTTTGATGTAGTAATTTATGATTTTTTAGTTATTAAAATGTATATATTAAACCTAAAAAAAATTATTTTGTTTCACATCCTCCATGT